CCAGAGTTTATGATGTAGCTTACAATATTATAATGAATAAAATTAAAATACAAATTTATTTGTTCTATTATATTATTGTCGAATTATATTAATTGAAGTAAACGTAATTAGTATTTAAAACGACATTAATAGATTGGAATAGTTGGAATATCCTGTATATAAATATGTAGTATTATTTGTTATTATTCGTTAATAATTTTCTTATGTAATAGTCTTTTATTATTGTATAAGAATTGTTATTTTAATTGATATTTTATGTTACTCATATTGTGTTGACATTTATTCACGCATATACCTTATACTCATGATAGTCATGCATTTATATTTTTTATAGAAGATATAATGTAAAAAAAATCATGGAAAATATTTACTTGTAAGATATATTACGTTCTTTTTGAACCGTGGAAGATATATTTGGTTTTGTTGTCTCTTTACTATGGTAACAGAGGAGATATGCTAAATCAAAAGTTGCATCGATATTTGACGTTGTATACCGAATGTACCATGAATAGTGGAGACAATGCAGTAATTTCAATCGAATTTAAAAATCTTGAGTCGACTTTTTATTAAATTTCGATCTCCTACAACATATATTTCTGATATAAGTAATTTAAAATGAATTAATAAAAAATTTCAAAACATGCACATTTTATGCACAGAGAATGCTTAAGTAGCGTGTAAAAATAGAAAAATGATCAGAAAGAAACGTGGAGGTGACAAAGAGAAGAAATTACGGAAAAAGTGTTTAAACGAACAAGAAACGCTATCTTACGAACAACAAATTCTAGACAATAATAGACAACTGTCACGGTTTGTTCATTAAGAGTTTGAGGCTGAACTTTGGTTTTTCTTTCTGACTTGTATTTAATGATGTGTTCCTCCCGATGTTTTAAGGCTACGCAGTCGAAATGAAGAGCTTGAAATCGAGGTAAAGAATTTGACAAAGAAGTATGAGCAATTAAAAGAGGATCGATCTGATGTCGTGGCGCATTTAAAACGAGACTTGGAGGGAAGGATAGAAGAGACTCGCGAACTAAATGAACGTTTATTGGCCATGGAAGAATTGAGAAAACAGGAACAAGCAGAGTATAAAAAGAAAGAAAATGCGATGGAACAAGAGTACCGAACTATGGAAAATAATCTGAGCGCTGAAGTAAAACTTGCAGGTATAAAATTGTCATAATAAAAGAGCAGAAAAGGCAATATGAAAAATTGTTGCATGTTCTATATCAGCTGGGAAGCTGAATGCGTTGGATGACTGGAGATTAGCCCGCTTGGATTTAATGCGCAAGTTTGAGATACAAGAGGAAGAAATGGCGAAACAAGAGGAAGAACACAAAACGACGCTTTATGAAATGGAGAAATCAGTCATTGTTGCTAAGGCTAAGTAAACAAATTAATCAATAGTTTTTTATTATCATAAATGTTACGTCTGAATAACAATACTTTTCAGAAGTTACAATTTTATCTTAATATTTTTATTCAAGATTTACATGCCGTGGAGATAATTTTTAACAAACTTTTATTGCTTCATTTTTTTATATTTATATATATA